CCCTGCTGTCCCCTGTCCCCAGTGTCCCCCCGTGTCCCCCTGTCCTGTCCCCCTGTCCCCTCCTGTCCCCTGTCCCACCTGTCCTCTTGTCGTAGTCACTCTCGGCCATCTCGTATTTGGCCACCTGGCTCAGGTCCTCAAACTGCCCCGCACGGGCCCCGCTGCGGTCGGTCACCTGTGGGGACAGGGGGACATCAGGACATGGGGACACCAGGGGGACATCAGGGGGACATGGGGAGATGGCACCGAGACACGCATAGGGGACAAGAGGTGACACAGGAGGTGACACAGGTGACACTGAGGTGACAGGAGGTGACACAGGTGACACTGAGGTGACAGGAGGTGACACTGACATGGACCCTGCAGCCGTCGCTGATGGGGAAGGGGAAGGGGGATGGCACAGGAGGTGACACAGGTGACACTGAGGTGACACAGGTGACACAGGTGACACACAGGTGACACAGGTGACACACAGGTGACACACAGGTGACACAGGTGACTCACGTGGATCCTGCAGCCGTCGCTGATGGGGAAGGAGCCCAGCAGGGCCTCGTCGCAGTCCAGCGGCCCCAGGGGCTCGTCCTGGGCCCCGAACAGCTCCAGCTGCATGCACGAGGCTGGGGAGCCCACAACCAGCTCCAGTTTGCACTGGGAATGGAACTGGGGTTACTGGGAGCACTGGGAATGGCTGGGGAGCCCAGCACCAGCTCCAGTTTGCACTGGGAACACAGGAATGGGATACTGGGAGCACTGGGAATGGATCCCGGGGTTACTGGGAGCACTGGGAACGGACACTGGGGTTACTGGGAGCACTGGGATTGCCGCAGGAATCCCTCCAGTAGCTCCCAGTTCGCATTGGGAGGGGTCATTGGGAGTCCCAGCGCTCCCAGGTTGGGTTTGAGGCTCTGTTATCCCGGTTATCCCGGTCCGGTTATCCCGGTTCCCGTTATCCCGGTTATCCCGGATCCCGTTATCCCGGTCGGGTTATCCCGGTTCTCCCGGCCCGGTACCTTGAGCTCGGCGATGGTGAGCGCGGGCGAGAAGCGTTTGCAGGCACGGAAAGCGTTCAGGGAGCTGCTCACCGCCAG